CTAACCAGCTTATTGCCGTCCGCTGTGAGCTGGAATAATACGGCTCCGATATCCGTGTCGCTGGGATCAGTATATAAAATGAAAAAGCCGGTCGAGGAATATATGTATGCCAATTTTTTAAACCGGCGGCTAACACAACGCAGTTCCTAGATTCACGTAAGTTGTTTGCTGAGCTCTTTCCTAGGCAAATTTGTTCTCGGCTTCAAAAAATCTGTCAAAAGGGGAGCGATCATTGTAAATCTCCACACAAAACGCCGACAGTAACAATCGAGGCCGAGAAAAGTGCATAATTTATCAACTTTTGTAACTACTGACAATAAGCTTACCAGCTCGTCCTTCGTTGGGTCGCGTCAAGTTAACCGTACGGTCCTGATGAACAACGATATTCGGCACTAATTTACACCTGTGAACCAACCATGCGGCACCGGTGCCCAGTAAGATTTCAACATCCCTTGTCCACATACACCCAAATAAAGTAGGAGTGGTGACGACATCCGAATTACAAATAGAAGGCATTGCCAATAAACACTTTTTGGGCTAACAGGGTCCACCGTGTCTGCAGACGTACGCAGATATTCTGAACGTCCTATAATAGGGACAGTTTTGTCATGCCCGCGTAGGCGACATCGCGATCGAACACGGGTTGATTGATAGCAAAGGTCTTTGCCCATATGGCTGGTGCTCGGTTATTGGATACCCGTCGCGCCGAATAGATGGTACTGGAATAGCATACGCTAGTTCTTGCTGGTAATCTCGTGTATTTGCTGTCGGTGTGCCTCCACGCGCAAAGCTACTTTTAATCCGATTGGAGGTCTCTCCAAAAATTCACGCCGAATATCAGGGTCTGTCGTCCCCTGAAGGACTTGTGTAAGAAATTTCTGCTCCTGCCTCGACTGGTCTTCTTTGGGGTATGCGGCTATTGCAAGCTTTCGTAACGCTGCAACCAATATGTTCAATCGATCCTCATTCTCCTTCATACGTTGATGGAACAGGTGGTCATACTCTAACTAGTACAGCAGTTGCACCAGGGCCGACTTGGATTGACTGAAGACATTTTCGTGGACCACATCTATGACAACATCTTCCGCGGTCACCGAGCGATAAGCTTCGGGACCCACGAGGCTAAGTAGTGCTGGTACTTTTTCATGGCCCGGAATCGGCTCACGTACCAGTGCGCTTGTCGCACCCAATAGTCATGATCGACTCCAGGACTGTACTTCTTAGGAGGAATGGGAACCGGAACAACGGTGGTACGTACTTCCTTCCATGGATCTATAGGAGTGAATCCAGCGGAGTTGTTTGTCACGGTCCGCTGGCGGGTAGACGGCCCACTCATTTGACATTTCATCGTGTTTAGCGTCTTTCGCTGACTTGTTGCACGAGCTTTCTCCGAATGCCCATTTCAGTTCTGCTGTTTGGGTAGTCAGGTGCGTGTTGTGTTGAAAAATAAACCGAATCTTGGCTATAACATCTGTATTACTCATTGCGCAAAATTTTAAGCACTTTTCCCCACAATGCAGTCACCTCTAGTGGCAATACACCGTTCCCAACGATACTTCCATTTTTGGAAGGCCTCCTAGAATCCACTTTCTGGGATGGCGTGCACGTTTCTCCTCACATGGTCTTGAATCTTTTCTGTGGTTTGGAAACGACGTCCTTTCAACGTGGCTGTAAGTTTGGGAAACAGGAAAAGTATGCAGGGGCAAGGTCCGGAGAATACGGTGGATGGGGCACAACAGGAATGTGACATATTGCTGGGTAGCTGCGGACAAGGAGCGATGCATGCGCCGGCGCATGGTCATGATGTGACATCCAAGTCTGGTTTCCCACAGTTCAGGCATCTTCATGCGCATAGCCTCACTCAAACGTGTTAGCATTTGATTGCGAAATCCAACGCTCATTCCTACTTTCTCAGCAATTTTTGAACAGTTAAACGACGATTTCTAAAGAGCACGGCACGAACCCTCCCGCCATGATCATCGTCTGTTGATGTGAAAGATCGTCCTGGCTTAGGGTCATCACCGATCGACACGCTACCTTACTCAAAAAACTTAAACCAATCATAGCACTACTTGCGACTCATACAGTCCTCTCCGTATGGTTGGCTACGCAAATGAAATATCTCTGAAAGGTTTTGACAAGTTTGTGGCAGAAGTTCACATCCACACGCGTTGTGGTTTAAGTTCCTTCCTTATCTCTTTGGCACTAACCCGACGAACAGGTTGTGCACCTGCTCCCATCGGTGACTATAGCCCGCCACATAGTAGTCAGAGTGAAATTTGACAAATGGCGGTTTGTTTTCCAAACAAGTCACCATAGACTATCAGTAGCCGCAGCGCTCTCCTTCTGCCATTTGCCGCGCTATTTCAAAACCTCGCTTTCTTTTCGAACCCTCCTCGTATATAATATTCGTCCGGTTCGGTGTCCTTGGTCCCTCCGTAAAAAACATTCGCAGTAGGTCACGATAGATCTGATGTTCTACCAAGGAAAACAGAGAATGGAAATGGTCAGATGTCGGCCCACAACCACCTAGTATGAACGAATATCGACCAATAACACGTGGAATGTCTGAAAGTGGCAGAGTAACCGGGGGCAACTATGCGCAGGATGAAGCTTCCGTAGTCAAGGTCACAACGGACAGGAAGGCGGGGTCCTATGGGAGGTTAAAACAATATGGCGCGTTGCGTTGCGTTTCATGGTGTAGTTGATGTCCATTTTTACTAAGACATGCAAAATGTAGGAGACATCCCTATTTGCACCTGTGCCTTCTCCGTGTCCGTAAAGTTTGCGTTCGTCTTCCTAAGGTCACAGAACCAAAGCGAATGATTCTTCTAAACCCGGCACTTGTCAACTGCACAGACTGATTGTTTGAACAGTTATAACTAGCTTCACTGCAGCACATAGATCACGTTTCTTTATTACCAAGTGCAATACAATAAGTGTGTATATCAATGAAAACCACACAACGGACCACCCAACACGTGTGCTAATTTCCTGACCGTTGTGAAAAGAATGGAGTCCCACAGTTCAGTTCTGAAGTCCCCTGTCGAGAAACGATGGCTTCGGAGGTTCCAATCCTAGATCCCCCTGTTTCCATCTAAAATATTAACACCGGGGTGAAACTGGCGGCAGGAAGCCAATAACAAGGAAAATAGCTGCCTCATGTGCTATCCGGTAATCGGCACGACCGGTACTCACTTTTAAACTACATCGTAATGCGATTGCTAGTCGCAATCAATGCAAGCAAGTGGTAATCCGAAGCTCAGAGTAGGAGACTAGAAAGATTACGCGAAAAATGAGGTTCCCAAGGAGACTGCTAAGTATACTGGCCAAGAAGTGACAAGACTGACTGAAGTGGAATGGGCGATAGTCCGATTGGGAAGCATTGGTTGTTTTAAAGCTACCCGACTTGCTCTTTAAGTCGACGTCCCCCAGTGTAGTCAGCTTCATGGTACACTCCAACCGTCACCGCGATTACACTAGATTACTTGCTTTCGTTAACTGGATAAAGCAGAGGCTACACAAATATGACTGATCGCTGCACTATTTATCCTCCGGGAGCGTCGATCCTCCCCACGAATGAGTGCGTGTTAAGCTGAACGTAGCTCATGATATTAGGCCATGCTCAAACCTGAGAAACACTTCACATTACATTAAATGAGTTCAGGATTGCATGCAGACTTCAGACGTGGTGGTCGACTTTTGGAGCCAGGTCACTGTCAATCGTTTGACAATTTGGCAGCGATTGCAGCACCTCCAGAAGCGATCTTGTCTCAACCGAGAATCACGTGATCTACCAACAAACCGTCTCTCGCCTCGCTTCATTAGCGTCTTCATTCCTTAGTCCTGGCTTATGTACTGCTTAGTTTTCAACCGCAATCTCTTATTTTTCCGGCTTCGATTATCTTTCTTTTCGTGTTGTGGAGGTGCAGACATTGCACCTTGACATTAGAATATTTCAAATCTATCTACTTTTAGCCTTTAAGGAGTCATAACGCATTAAACACAAATCCTGGCGAGACTATTGTAAGTGTTTCGATAATTCCAATATATTTAAGTGAGGTCTGTTTTACGTATAATCCACACGGATTTGAAAACACAATTTACCTATTCTAACCTCTTCAAAGTGTAGGTAATCCACTGTATTTCTAGATTGAGTAAGACCTTTGCAATTAGTGAATTTTCTTACATTTTCTGCGAAATACCGCTCCGTTGCCCGTTCCGTAATGTGGCGAAAACGATTTTTTGTTCTAATTTATTGTCTGAAAATCTGATGAGTGCAAGCGCCTAACCACACAAAGAGCTCCAATACGGCCAGATCCCTTACAACCGGATATATCCGCCATTCTCGCGAAACATACAAGGCCAGTATCAAGAACTCTCCAACACATTTAGTGCCATGGATTAGTAACTACAATCTGTGGATTGGTTACCTGCCAGGTTTGTCAGAACTTCAGGGAGTTCAATCTACGGTGTTCAGCGACGTGTGAAAATGTCTTCTATTCTTGGAAGAATTTTTACATTACAATTGAAATTATTGACCTAATCAGCAGAGAGGCCAGCACCCAGAACTGATGGCTTATACTGGGTGCAGAGTCAAACTAGCGTTCATTAGTGTGATCCACACAAGTCCAGCATTTGAGGGTCGGTAGTATGAATGATACTGTGCTTTTACCCGTGGCAGTGCAACCTGTGCCTTGAATTCGTAGTCGAATATGTGCATCCCAAACCTCCACGACTAATATTCACGCCACCTGGACGAACCTAAACTAACTTTAAAAGTGCTAAACAACTGTCCGGCATATTTGTTCCAAGCAATGCTCGATTTTTGGTAGGAAGAAGGGTTATCACGGGGCAGCACAGTGCTCATAATCTTCTGCACTTGAAAACCAAGCCTAGGTTTATGAGATTGGGTTGTCTGTGGTCCTTCACCGATTGCTCAGTTGACGTTCCTCCAACATTTAAGGCTTATCGATCGTCGGTGCACACGAATCACGCACCTTGGGCCTCACGTTCCGCCTTCTTTTGATGCAGAACCCGATGAAGTTCTTCCAGTCGCGCTTTGTGTTGATTTACCTGGGTAGCGGTCAATTGCGCTTCCTTGAACGTTTCCGCGAGTTGTGCTGAAAGGAAACGGACAGAGACTGAAACACACGCATTCCAAGTCGGATCATTTAGAATCCCTTATCGGTACAAAGGTAACAGTCTCGTTACCTCCATGCAATAGTACGAATTTCCTCCTAGCTAAAGATTGCTCAATGCTTGGAAGATTGCATCCGTTAAGCCATAACAGGGCCATGTGTCAAGCTGTGTTGTGGTGACTCGAAGCAGCTAGTTGTAACTTTCAGCGAAAATCAGATCTTGGAAACAACATTCCTTGGTTGCTCTCCTCGAGCTTCACGCTATTTCTTAACCCAACCTCGATTGGGGCATATGTCTTGTTTTTTACAAGATTCATCGCAGCTAGGCTCAACCAGACAGCCACCACACAACAAAGAAAACGATAAATCCCCATACTACTCGCCAATATGCACTGTTAGACACTGTGCACTTAGGTGCCATGCGTTCCACTTCAGTTCGTGGTATTAAGCGTGTTGGACAATCCAGAACGAATATGGTAATCTAGAAGCTTCGTCGCCTAGCCAGAAGTGCAACACAGCCATACGTGTTCTTGAAGGAGCAACTAACTTTTGTTCTCCTGGAAAACTTTAAACAACTCTCTTCCAGCTTCTGCTTTGAATTCTTCAAACGCTTCCTTCTTGGATGGAAATCTGCAAAGTGATAGGAGGCACTATTTATCATCATTGATGGGACTAGAATTATGACAATTATCCAATTGAAACTAGGGGACAGTAAAGCATATACCGTACTGTTTTAAAGGCACCTTGGGAAAAAGCACACATCATTTGAACAATGAAAAATCATTAATCACGTTGGATGGTTGGAGTGAAAAAGAAAATGGAAAAGATCAACTAATAATTAAATCGTCATTTCAAGCGTCTACAGATTTAAATGCACTACTGCATAACGATCATTTGAAATCGGAATGGGATGTACACACACAAGGAAAAGTATGGGGCGCAGTTATAGTTCAGTAACTCATTAACAGATAAAAAAGGAAATAATGCTTGCTCGTGTGTTGCTTCATTTGACTGATGTGATATGTTAATTCAGTTTAGTTACGTCCATGATACTCACAAGGACACTTATGCATGCATCCTCATCACCACATTGCGGAGAAGGCCGTTAAGCACATGGTTTGGTTTGCGCTTTTCAGTCCTCCGAGTGAAACGGACTACATCAAGTAAGGCAAGTTGGAAAGAGTTTCATCAAGGCGCTTTTTGAAAGGTGTTAATGTTGGGGCAAGGATAACGTAAGTCGGAAGGGCGTTCCAGGCACTGGACACACGGACAGAGAAACCGTTTTGTCGACAATCAAGTCGACTGTGGTGCGTAGCCAGTCAGAACTGATGGCCACTCAGTTTGGCATTTAGGCTCAGCTGTAACAGATTGCGACATGGGTGAGTTGGGTTTGCCAGTATTAAGTAAACTGTGATTAATTCTCCTCGCTGTTGTCGAGAGTAGCCAATGTACAATCTCAGGGACTACAGTCTGCGCTGGTAGGGTAGATGAAACAATCTGCTAACGAGTTTGGTTGCTCTACGTCGTGGAGCTTCAAGTGCATCGACGTCGCGCTTGCGCCAGGGACGCCACGCCTGGATCGCATATTCCACATGAGGCCTCACGTAGGCTTTTAGCATTTGCGGGAGGATTGATGGTTATACATTCCCAAAATCCCTCCGTAAGACTCCAAGACGTTGACCGGCTCTTTTTGATATCACTTCAGCCTGCCTCGAGCAACCAAGATTGTTCTGCACCATCATCCCCAGGTCGCTTTCCTGGAAAGCACGTTGCAACTTCTGGTCACTAAGTCGATATTCAGGGGTAAGCTGCATTGCGTCACGTCGAACTGGAGCAGGTTATCGGTTGACCATATATAAGCCATGTCGAGATTTTTCTGTAATGCCATGTGATCATCCGCTGCCTTGATGCCATGCCACAGTTTGGCATCATCTGCAAATAGTAAGAAACTAGACTGAGGTACGTTGGCAAAATCGTTGATGTATACTAGGGATGCACGTGGCCCCAGTACTGATCCTTAAGGCACGCTACACTGTAAATCAGTTGGGTCGGAAATGGAGCTACGTACTCTCACATTCAGCTGACGTTGAGCGAGGAAGTCGCTGATCCAACGCAGCACAGGGTCACCGATCCCATAGCTTCGCAGCTTGTGAAGGAGCTCGCTGTGGCCCAAATAATCGAACGCTTTCGAGAAGTCCAGGTAGGCGATGTCAACCCCATTCTGCCATTGGTTGTTTCTGTCCACCTTGCTCGGTTTAGAAGTAAGTGTGTAGTGCAAGACCGATTTCGGCGGAATCTGTGCTACTGTGACACTAGGACGTTGTTGCTCTCAAGATATCCCATGAAAGCTTCTGCGATTCTAACTTCTATTACTTTGGATAACACTAGGAGGAGAGTGATTTGTCGGTAGTTCGGAGGCCTCCGAACGATTACCACTTTGGTAAATAGGAGTGACTAGTCCATGTTTCCACATCGTGGGAACCTGCATTTCGTCTAGACAAGGATGAAAAAACCGAGCTAATGATTTGGCGAGCTTCCTGACCGCATTTTTCAGTGCCTTCGGTTAGATGCCGTCCACGCCAGGTGAGCTGTGCGTGCGCAATGACATTAACCTTTTCATCACATTGGCTATCGTGAACCAAACGTGGTTCAACCATGGGGGCGATGGGAGCTGTGTCAAAAGCGGATGAAATGGTGAGTAAATTTGGGAATTATAGATGAATTGTTGGCGAAATTGGTTTTCCGCATCTGGTGTAGTTTGCGCCAGACCAGGTGCTGCAGGTAAGACTGAAATCCACCGCTACACCCTCCGGAGCTTTTGTCGTGTCCATACAGCAACGTGCGAGTTGTAATAAAAGTTGCAGCTAAGTAGTTTTTGTGCTGCAATTAGTCTTCGCGGATCAAATAGCCGCAGTGATTTCGCTGAGTTGTGTAAGTATCCCAGGCGAGGTTACTTGGACAGACTTGGTAAGCGCGCCAGACAGCATCCCGCAAGGCCATGCATTTTCTATTACAGCTCCCCAGGAACGAGTTCACTTGCTTCGGGTGAAAGCCCTTGTTTTCTGACGCATTTGTCACTAGCTCGGTGAGTTGGATGGCAGACACCATCCAAACTACATCGGGCGGCTTCTCGGTCAGGAAGGACCAGTCGGTTTCTTGAACGAGGCTGGACAGGATATCGTAATTTGTTACTAGATAGGTTTCCACGTTTATCTCACTGATGTACTGCGAGTAACAGCTGTAACAAAAGAGCAACACCGCGTAGTCACTACGACCAAGTGGTGCATCTACGGTCACAGTGTCAACCATTGGTACATCGATGATGAGCACAAGGTCCGAAACAGAGGGTGGGTCACCAGTTCAGAATCGCATGGGAGTGGGGACATATTGTACAGAGGTAAACCTGCAGGGACCTCATTGAGGTGTTCACTGTGGGAGGCTGGGACTTCGACTGCGTGCAGGTTGTAGTCTCCCACCAGAAGGACGTGACTGTATGGTCGTGCCAGAACTCGCTTAATCGCAGACGCTATGCAGTGTTCCATTTCCAAGGTGGACATTGGAGGGTGGTAAGCAATTGTTAGTTAACACACATCACGAGGTTTTAGGTGCATAGGACAACAGAGAGACTCAATAATTTGTGTTTCTGGGTCCTCCATAACATCAACATGCAGGTCGGATCGATAATGCAGGCGCACTCCCCCTCCTCATCTAAGTCGATCATTTCGTATGGAAGTCACGCGGGTAGTGCAATCTCATCATCCGTGGTCTCCGTGTTCAGCCAGGTTTCAGTGACCATAACTGGGTCCGAAGGCGTGGAGACCTTACGAATGCGGTTCGGTTAGCTTGCTGAGAAGACCTTGTACATTGGGATACAAGCATGTGAGAGCATCGGTGGTTAGAAGCATGTTTGTGGATGCTGGTTTCCATTGAGGGTTTTGCAGACCCTTGGGGGGACCGCTGCAGGTCGTCTATTTGTAGGACCGATGACTCATCATCGTCATTATACACGTTAGCTAGATGTGAGAAACACCTCAGCTACTGTGCCGCAATACAAAAAGGAAAAGGAAAATAACTACAACGGTTGCATGCCAGCTGAGCTACCAGCAACGGATAGGCATCGTTCCGGTAAGCTACCAGCTAGCTACTGGACAAAAATAGAAATTATTATGTTTTACGCTACCAAAGGTGATTGTACGTGGAGGGAGATGCTGAAAGGGATGGGGAGGGACAAAGAAACTCACAGCAGGAACGCCACTGACGTCGGCTCCTTGCCATGTCAGCAAGTGTATCTAACCAAACGTGTTCATCGTCTTTTGGACCCCAGCCAGGGAGCCGTGACGCTCCAACGCAGGCCAGCTCCGAAGTGAGAGCCTTCATTACTCTCGACCAAGTCATCGCTTAGCCTCCCATCCTCTTCTTCCATCCACATCCCCGGTGAGCAAACAACGCACGTCGTGGAAGTCGATGGGCTGGGATGCCCAACACGTAGCCCAGCCATCAGAGCCTGGTGCGTGAAATGACAGTGCTGAGCGGACCAGATCCTTTTTCTGTGTCACAAACAAGGTGTCGAACACGTTCGTTACTTACGCGGTGTTCCAATCAGATGTGAGCCAATCTGCGAAGTCACCGGTGGTCGAAGGTAACTATCCTCTTTACGTCCGCTGATTTTAAAGGCCAGGTTTCGCAACCGTAAAGTAAGGTCGAACGTACCGCTGCATTGTACACTCTACACTTCAGGACCAGAGTAATGTCGCGCCGTCGCCATAGGTGGCGAAGGTTAGCAAAAGCACTTCGAGCTTTTGATATACGGTTCGTGATCTCAGCTTCGATCCCAAGGGCGCTGATACAACTTCCCAGATAGTAGAATTTCCGAAAGACTTCTAGCTGATCCCCACCAAGGGTCAGCGCAGGAGGCGATCCCTGCCAATCTTGGAGGAACGCTTTGCATTTCGATGGTGCAAAGCAAAGCCCGAAGCGACTGACAGCCAGTGCTAATCCGTCCAGCGCGGCTTAGCACGTCTGGGAGGTGTCACAGATGAGGGCAATGTCTGCATACTCTAAGTCAAGAAGTCGTTCTCCTGGGAGTAGCTCCACACCTTCCAAGTCATGTCCTGTAAATGCAATCTCCATGACTACGTCAATATCGAAGTTGAAGAGGAAAGGTGACAGCTGGCATCCTTGTCTCACACCGCTGGAGATATTGAAGGGTGGCGACAGCTTGCCGTAAACCCTCACTCTGTCCGTGCTACGCGCGTATAATGCTTGGATAATATTTACATATTTCTCCGGCACACCTTTCCTCAGTAGACAATTCCAAAGAGCACATCAATCAAACGAATCGAAGGCACCTTTGATGTCGAGGAACACGACTACGGTGGACCGCCAATATGTGTGGCGGTGCTCCAATAACTGACACAAGGTGAAGATGTGGTCAATGCAGCCACGACCACGACGAAACCCGGCTTGCTCCTTACGAATCTGGCTTTCACAAGCGCCAGTCAGTCTGTGAAAATTATGGAGGCGAGTAATTTGGAGGCGATGGAGATCAGACTGATTCCTCTATGGTTGCCACATTCCGAGCGCGAGCCGCCTCTGAAGATTGGAACAATAACGGAGCTGCTCCAGTCGGT